TCTATCTATCTATCTATCTATCTATCTATCTATCTATCTATCTATCTATCTATCTGTGTGTGGGGGGGTGTATGTGCTCATACATGTTTGTGCATGCGCACAAGTGTGTGTGCGTTTGTGGAGGCCAGAGGTCAATGCTGAGTGCCTTCCTCAATCACTCTTCACCTTATTTTCTGGGACAGAGTCTCTCATTGGATGCAGAGCTCACCTATCTAGCTAGGCTGACTGCCCAATGAGCATCAAGGATCTGCCTGTCTCTGCCTGCCCCGTGCTGGGGTTACAGGTGTGCACCACCATGCCTGGATTTCGATGTGGGTGCTGGGGAACCTTAACTTAGGTCTTCATGCTTGTGTGGCCTACCCTCTACTGCATGAGCCATCTCCTCAGTTCCCCACACCTATTGGCATTATCTGAGTAAACCTCTGTAGAGAGTTCTGGAGACACTGTCCTATGGATGCATACTTAAACATATATGTGTTTCCCGAGTTGCTCTGCATTCAGAGGCAGCTCATTGTAAGGTCACTGGGATCTTTCTCTTCAGGAAGGTGATCAGTTCTCACAGTCCCCTAGGTAAGGAGTCTCCTGTCAGTCATACCTGTGCAGGCCTGGCTATCTTTGACCCACAGAATACAGACTAGAAAATGAAGACAGAACCATGCTTTTGTGGGTTTATTACTCTTAAATGACTAGAAAGATAGGGTAAAAGAGACTTTTTCAGGAAAAAAAAAAGATACGAAATTATTTTTGCAGTCATTTGTCTGTGAGCACATGTCTAAGCGGAGCAAGGAATCTCACTACTCGGGAAACTAAGCAAGATAGTGTCATAAAAGATCATCCGTAAAAGATGATGAGATAGGAGGTCACAGGGCACTAGGGAGCGCTTCCTGGATGAGGTGGGCTGACTGGCTGAGCAAAGCTGATCAGAGGGGAAGAGTATAATGGAAGTCTGGAATTCGTTCTACAAGGAAACGCAGGAAAGGCTATCGAGGTCTCGTGGGAAGAGGAGGAGGAGGAAGTGCAGGGAATTGAGTTGTGGCCCAGCATCCCTTACTGGAGCTCTCTTTCTCTTCCGGGTCAGCGCTTCTATGTGGCCACATCCCGGCAGCTGAAGCGACTGGAATCCATCAGCCGTTCACCTATCTTCTCCCACTTTTCGGAGACGGTAACGGGCACCAGTGTCATCCGGGCCTATGGCCGAATTGAAGACTTCAAGGTCCTCAGCGACAGAAAGGTGGACACCAACCAGAAGAGTGCCTACCCCTTCATCGCCTCCAACCGGTCAGGAGCCTCCCTTTCCCCGACAGGTGCCCACAGGCTCTCTGTGGTTCTGGGTGGCCTCCAGCACCCCCTGCCTTTGTTCATTACCCTCTATTGGTCCCTACAGATGGCTGGGTGTCAACGTGGAGTTCGTGGGGAACTGCGTGGTGCTCTTTGCTGCCCTGTTTGCGGTGATCGGGAGAAACAGCTTGAATCCAGGGATCGTGGGTCTTTCTGTGTCCTATGCCCTACAGGTAAGGTGGGACCTGGGACACTAGACAGGGCCACTGCTGAGGCAGAGGACACACAGGACTCCCAAGCCATCTGCTGAGTGCATTCCTCCGCTTCACAAGCAGATCAATCAGGCACAGGAAGACACTGCCACCAGGGAGTGTGATATAGTCTGGGGAGGTCTCCCTGGCAGGAAGAAGAAAGTGTGACAAGAGACTTGGGGATGTCATTCATTGGCAATACACTTACCTAGTATGTGCAAGGTCCTAGGTTCAAACCCAAACACAGGAAGGAAGGGAGAGAGGGAGGGAGGAAGAAGGGAGGGAGGAAGAAGGGAGGGAAATAGCCAAGAGCTTGGAGGAGTTTCTGTACTCTGAGGTGCTAGAGAAATGATCTTGGAGCTTGGCCCAAACAGAACTGCCGTGTCTGGACAAGATATAGGTCAGCCTGACCGAGGTCTGAACACGGGACACGTCGGGCCAGACCACATGATGTGGTGCATGCCTGCAGGGAAGCTACAGCTAGCCCTCGGTGTCCTCCTTCTTCACTCAAGAACCAACCAACAGCAGATAGAAAACGCTTGAAAAGGCTGGAAATGATGGTGCATGCCTGGAATCCTAGCACTTGGGAGGAAGTTGAGGCAGGAGAATTGCTGTGAATTCAGTGCCAACCTGAACTATATAGTGAGACCTTTTCTCAAAACAAAACAGATTAAAAAAAAAAACCCTCCCCCCAAAACAATCTGAAAAAATATTCTAGAAACTTCTACCAAAAAAAAAAAGCAGAAAACAAACAAACAGGATGACTTCACTGAGTCTCTGAATGTGTGTATCTGAAGTGGCGTGTAGGCTTTGTGTTAGGTAATCTAGTAATCTAGATACCATTCACAGCATTCCGGAGGGTGTGGGTAGGTTTCACGTAAACAATAAGCAATTTTATGTGAAGGACTTGAGCATCTGTGAATTTAGGTATATTCAAGGGTGCCCTGTGGATGTGGAGGAGTAAACAGATGAGGCGACTGGAGCCTGGGACTGGAGGTCACCCTGACACCAGCCTGTATGATCAAAGAGTTATACAACCTGCAAATGGGATTTTTTGTAAAGCTGATCACATTGTCGAGGCCTCAGGTGGCTCAGATCTGAACGCACTGGTAAACAGAAAGCGATGCTGACAGGCCTGTCTGCTCGCACCTCAATATGCATGTGACTCATTTGGAGACCTTGTTAAAATGTTCGTTCTCATTCACAAGCTTCCGTTCTTAGCCAGAGCTTGGATTCTGCATTGCTGTCAAGGCTCTTGGACACAGGACAGTCCCTGGACTGGCTCCACTGACATATTCTGGGAGCATGGTAGGAGTGGAGAGCCTTGGGCCTATTGACTCACACACTGCGTTTTGACAGGATGCTCTGAGAAGTCTAATACATATCAAAGTTTGAGGGGCACTGAGTGAGACTGTCCTCCACTGAGTCTGCACTGCCACCGCCTGAGGCACGGCTGTGATTAGAGGCCTAGTCAGTACTCACCTGTAGGTCTTAGAAGGGATGGATCCACTGATCAGAAACAAAGCTCCTGCTGGGCCTCTCCCGTAACACAGTTCCTTTACTCAGGTAACCTTGGCTTTGAATTGGATGATACGAATGATGTCAGACTTGGAATCTAACATCATAGCCGTGGAGAGAGTCAAGGAATACTCCAAGACTGAGACCGAGGTGAGTTCCAAGATGAGGCCTGCAGGAGAAGGTACTCAATGACTTGAGGAAGGCTGCTTGGTGGCCTGTCATCGCTGTGCTTCAAGGATAACTGTTTAAGTGGCTTCCACCCATCCATACATCCACTCTCAGAGTGTCAGGCCATGACTGATGCTACAGGTAGAGGGCTCAGAGTTCAGCAAAAGATTCTGAGCCAGGGGGAGGCACAAGGCATGTAGATGGCGAGGCTCTGGGGCTGCACACAGCTGGGGTGATCCTGGAGTAAGGGAACTTCAGAGAATGGGCAAGTTTTGACAGATGAGATGAAGTAGGGGTGGGGCAGGGGAAAGATGAGCATCGCAGCCAAAGAAACAGAGGTGGAGCAGTGTGCCTCCCCTTCTTTGGTAGGGGGAGGTTTTGAGACAGGGTTTCTCTGTGTAGCCCTGGCAGTCCTGGAACTCACCCTGTAGACTAGGCTGGCCTTGAACTCAGAGATCCATCTGTCTTGCCCCCCACCCCGCCCCAAGTGCTGGGATTAAAGGCATACACCACCACCACCACCAGAATTGTTCTCTCCTGGGTGGGTACAGGTTGTTCTCCAATGAGGGCGTGTTTCAGACCTCTTCATGCCCGGAAGCTGCACCATCTCTGAGCTCTTAGCGTCAAGCATCCCACTTTTTGACCTCCAACCCTATGTTGCACGGCCAAAGTCCTCTGCCCTCTATGAGATCCCAGCACTGTGACCTGCCCTTGTTTCCCAGCCATCAACTCCTGTCTTTTTCACTTTCCCTGTTCAGCCTGGACTCTATGCTCCATAAAGGGAGGCTCTCAACCTGTCCCTGTCCCTGCCTACAAAACCCCCACCCTATCTGAGCCCCCATGTCCACATCATACCTGCAGAGAGCCGCTAATGCGAGCTGGAGAAGGACACCACCAATGCCATAACCACCCTCCACATCTGGTTTCCCTGCTTCGCTTCGCTGAGAACTGTATGCTCCCACTTTCAAAACGGTCCCTTCAGAGCATTCTCTGTCCTCAAACCACATCTGTTTGTTGTGATATTTTGTTTGGGTTTTAACAAATAAAGCTTGCCTGAAGATCAGAGTACAGAGCTAAGTCACTAGAGGCCAGGCAGTGGTGACTCGTGCCTTTAATCCCAGAACTAGGGAGGTGAAGACAGGAAGGGAGAGGGCTGGGCAGAGAAAGGACTACAAGGCGGGAGGAGACAGGAGCTCAGATGCAGTCTGAGGATGCAGTCTCGGGATGCAGTCTGAGGATGCAGTCAGAGGATGCAGACTGAGGAGGCAGTCTGAGGATAGGACCACCTCTTTGGTCTAAGCATCGGTAGAGGTAAAAGGTCTCTCTGATGGTTGGTCGCTCTGCTTCTCTGATCTCTCAGCTTTCACCCCCTAATATCTGACTCCAGGCTTTTATTAAGAACAATTAGAATTCGTGCTGCCTCTGTTCTCTGTGCTCAAGCTTCCACCTTGCCTGACCCTTCCTTCCGTGAGAAAATAGGTTAAAGATGATGTGAACACCCTTCACCTTCAGCTCTTCAGTGCTGCCTGGGCATCCTCCTCCTCCTTCCTTTCTCTTTGAGCTGATGTTTTCCCTTCAAAGTCCAGCCCCTCAGCTTCTATCAGATCATGTGTTAGAGACTATGGCTTCCTCGACTAGACCATCTGTCTTGCTCCCTCTGTTGAATGATTCTCATCTATGTTCACCTTCCATTCTAGACACAAACAACCCCCACCCCACTTTCCCCTGCCACACATTGCCTCATTCTTAGCTCTCCTTTGTCATGAAGTCTGTTTTTTGTTTTGTTTTGTTTTGTTTTGTTTTGTTTTTTTACTTTATTTTGCTTGTTTCTTTTTTCGGGACAGAATTTCTCTGTATAACAGTTCTGGCTGTCCTGGAACTAACTCTGTAGACCAGGTTGGCCTCAAACTCACAGAGATCCGCCTGCCTCTACCTCCCAAGAGCTGGGATTAAAAGCGTGCACCACCACTACCCAGCCATGAAGTACGTTTTAAGCTGTGATCTACACAGGTTTTACTTCTTCCTGACCCTGGCCCTTGCCTGCTGGAACCTGCTTTCCACGAAAACAGCTCACTCGTGACCTACCTGGCAAATCCATTCTCCTTGAAGTGCCCAGTGAGACCCTTTGAAACTCCACTGCGAACTGGGCATGGTGGTGCAAGTCTTTTAATCCCAGCACTAGGAAGGCAGAGGCAGGAGGACCTCTGTGACTCCAAGCCCAGCCTGGTCTACTGTGATAGCTCTCTCAGTAAAGTGCGGAACAAACATACCCAGAGCCTTGGGTTCTGTTGCTGATATCAAATTAACCTGGCGTGGTGGCTGGTGCCTGTAAGCCCAGCACTTGGGAGGTAATTCAGAGTACCAGCCCCTGTACTGCAGAATGCAAATAGCAAACAGCGTCCCCTTGTCTGTCATGCCTTTCCTCTAGATAGCCACTTGCCTTGTCCCCTCTGTCACCCTCTTCAGGTCACTACTGTCACCCCTTCCAGGAAGCCTTCTTGAATAATGCATAGAAGAGCAATCCCAGACTCTTCTGGTCCCAAGCCCCGCCACTTGTTTTGCTATAGAGACTTGCTGACGCATAAACCATGCACCCTTGTGTATGCGGGATCGCAAGCCTCCTAGAACGAGAGCTTTGTCTCATTGGTGACACTTAGTAGTAAAGAATGAATAAAGGTGATGAAAGGAGGTGCTAAGGCAGGCCGGGAGCAAACCTCAGAGATCTGTAACAGATTGGTGAGGGTAGGACAGAGAGGTTCTGGAGTTAGCATTTGGGGGAATGAAATCAAAGAGGAAAAGCTGGGGGCGTGGCCCAGTGGTAGCCTGGCATGTGTGAGCCCCTGGGTTCCATCAAAGAAAAAAGTCAAAGGATATAGGAATTTACTGAACCAAAGGGCGGCAGGCCTCCCCATCAGGGACCATGGTGGGTCAGGATTGAGGTGTCTGGAGAAAGGTGGGGCTGAACAGTGGGAGAGGGATTGAACAGGTGTCGTTACCCTGATGAGACTGTAAGAACCCAACTGTCTCTTGCTAGGCCCCCTGGGTGATAGAGGGCAACCGTGCTCCAGAAGGCTGGCCCACACGTGGGGCAGTGGAGTTCCGGAACTATTCAGTGCGGTACCGTCCGGGCCTTGAGTTGGTGCTGAAGAACCTGACCCTGCGTGTGCAGGGAGGCGAGAAGGTACTGGTGCCTGAGGACCTTGCCACATCCCTTGTGGGGAGAACATGGGTGCTCTAACTGGCTCTATCCATTGGGGTGCTGATAGAAACCTAGAGATGCCCCTGACAACCTTTCCCATGCCCCACAGGTAGGCATTGTGGGCCGCACTGGGGCTGGCAAGTCTTCCATGACTCTCTGCCTGTTCCGAATCCTGGAGGCCGCAGAGGGTGAGATCTGCATCGATGGACTCAACGTGGCACACATTGGCCTCCATGACCTGCGTTCTCAGCTCACCATCATCCCCCAGGTAAGAACCTGCTGATCCTGCTCCTCCCTGCACCCCTCTCCCAAACCCGGAAACTTCAAAAACTTAACAACTGAGCCCTGGGGCCTGCTTGGAGAGATGCCTCCTGGAAGGCATCTCTCCCCCCCAGGCTCCTCCCAGCACAGCAGGGCTGAGGTTTCCTGCCTTTCTCTCCTGGATGCCCCGTTCCCAGTGGCACAGCCTTTCCTGGCTCCTTAGGGTGTTTTTCTGCCAAGTAGACACTTGAGAAGCAGATTAGTGGCCCTGCTTCCTGCCTCAGGCAGGGGACTTAGCGACTGGCAGGGCTGAGGTTTATCACTCCCCCACAGACAGTTTTGTTATCTCCCTGGTAATGTCCCCCTTCTGGAAGACTGGGGACAGAGCAGAAAGCTGCTGCCTGGTCACCTTCCTTGCCCGGCTCCTGAGATTCCTTCTAGGGTATAAGCTATTTCTCCCTGATTTTATGTCACCAGGACCCCATCCTGTTCTCGGGGACCCTGCGCATGAACCTGGACCCCTTTGGCCGTTACTCAGAGGAGGACATCTGGAGGGCCTTGGAGCTGTCCCACCTCCGTGCATTTGTGAGCAGCCAGCCTGCAGGCTTGGACTTCCAGTGCTCAGAGGGTGGAGATAATCTCAGGTAGGAATGGGACTGGACATGTCAGGAATGCTGCCCCCTACTGGACAGAATCCTAATGAGCCCCTAACCCATGTAGGCATGCACCTCAGCCAAGGCTGCACAGGGATGTTATTTCCTATGGAGTATATTCTCAAAGGCGCACGGCACTTCCTCAGACTGCTCTCACAAGCCTCCCTTGGCAGTTTAGGAAACAAACTCGAGAGGGCAGGCGATTAACCAAAGTTGCACCGCTAAGAGCAGGCATGCCTGGGGTTTGAACCAGCTCTGGTTCTCATCGAATTCGACCCCAGTGACATTCAGATGGAACAGTCCCACCCCTGTTGGAATCTTCTGGGCTCTAGGGTCATGGACCTGTGGCACAAGTGCAAGGAAGCCCATGTGCTCTGGAAAGATGTCTGCCAGGATGGAGGCAGTCAGTCAGGAATATACAAAGTAGGCTCTCTCTGTATTCCCTGTGCCCCCTCCAGACCGTTAGATTCTGCATCGCAAGCCTCTGGGCTGTGTGTTCCACAGATCAGCAATCTGTTCCTAGTAAGTCAAAAACCTCAAGCTATCTAGATTTTCTTTTGTATTCTGTTTGAGTTTGTTTCTGGTGCTAGATTCACCCATGCTAGGCAAGCTCTTCGCTGCTCAGCCTATTCCTAGTCCTAGCTGTGTGATTTGGGGCAAGTTGCTTAACCAGTCTGTGTCTCTTTTACATTCACTATATAAACAGGGATAGTAATAGTCCATGCCCGCTTGCATTGCACTCCCTGATAATAATGTACTATGAGGCTGGAGAGATGGCTCAGTAGTGAAGAGCAGTGGCTGCTCTTCCAGAGGACCCAGGTTCAATTCCTAGCACCCGCATGGCAGCTCACAACTTGCTGTAACTCCAGTTCCAGCAAATCTAAGCTCCTTTTTGGCCTCGGTAGGCACTGCATACATATGGTACACAGTACATGCAGGCAAAATACACACACACACACACAGAGAGAGAGAGAGAGAGAAAGAGAGAGAGAGACCTTGTATACACATAACTACATATACACACAAAAGATGCATGCACATATAATAAAAATAACACTGATGATAACAAGAGAGGCAAACAAATAAGAATAAACAGGTGGATTAATTAATTAATTTGGGGCTAGAAAGATGACTTGGTGGTTAAGAACACTTGCTACGGGGCTGGAGAGATGGCTCAGTGGTTAAGAGCACTGACTGCTCTTTCAGAGGACCCAGGTTCAACTCCCAGCACCCACATGGCAGCTAACAACTGTCTGTAACTCCAGTTGCAGGGGACCTGACACTCATGGGAAAACACCAATGTATATAAAATGAAAAAAAAATAAATTAATTAAAAAAAAAAGAACACTTGCTGCAAGGCTGGAGAGATGACTCAGGGGTTAAAACAGTTGCTGCTCTTCCAGAGAATCAGAGTTTGGTTCTCAGCACTCACATCAGGTGGTTCATGACTGCCTGTAGATTCAGCTCCAAGGGACCCAGTGCCCTCATCTGACCTCCACAGGCACACACACACACACACACACACACACACGCACCACATGGCATATAGTCACACAGACACACAAGCATACACATAAATAAAAAATACAACTTTTAAAAAGTTAATTTATTTACCTCTTTTTTTGAGACAAGCTGACAATGTAGTTCAGAGTAGCCTAGAAGTCAAGGTAATCCTGCTTTAGTTTCTTGGGGACTAGAATTATAGGGCTATGCCACCATACCTGGTAGAATAAATATTTCTAAAAACGTATTTGTTTAGTGGCACTCATGTGTAGAACAATTTACAAGAGTTAGTTCTCTCTTTTCTTTTTTTGATATTTTTTGAGACAGAGTTTAGCTGTGTAGCCCTGGATGTCCTGGAACTCACTGCATAGACCAGGCTGGCCTCAAACTCAGATCTGCCTATCTCTGCCTCCCAAGTGCTAGGATTAAAGGTGTTCGCCACCACTACCTGGAGGTTATTTGTTTTTTGAGACAGGGACTCTCTATGGGGTAGCCCCAGCTGTCCTACAACTTGCTATGTTCACCAGGCTGGACTAGAACTCACAGAGATCTCTCTCCCTCTGCCTCCGCCTCTGCCTCTGCAGCTTCTCCCTCTGCCTCCTGAGGTGATATGCCACACCTGGCTGTATTTTCCACTTGCAACACAACTCTGTCCAGAATAGCTACAATTCAAGTATGAAAGAGCCAGATGTGGCCCATCGGTGGTTACACTTTGAAGGGAGCAATCCTGGACCAGCTCTGCTCAGAAGCACTTAGCCTGCATGTACCCCTGTGGAGTGTCAACGAGTTCCCTGCCCTTTCTGCCCTCTCTTTTTTGCTTACTCTTTCCTTTGGGTGCTGGGGTCGGACCCAAGACCTTGCACATGCTCAGAAACACTTCACCGTGCCCTACATTCCTAACCCTTTGTTTTCTTCCTTATATTCAGGACATACTCATGTTTCAAAACTTGAAACAAACAAACAGAAGGTCACATCTGCCCAGCGCTTAATGTTTTGCAGTATTCAAAGTAGTTTGGCCTCCACCGTCTCATTTCATCTCTTCTGCTGCCCTGTGGGCTGGAAATAGAAATGGAATTACTTGCCCAAAGCTGCCTGGCCAGCCAGAAGCAGGGCAGGGGACTTAAGGAGATGTGAGATTTTTTTCCCCATCACTTTTCTTACTTCATTACAAGGCTTCCTCAAACAGAAAACAGGTGGTGCAGGCCCAGTGACACAAACCAGCTACTTGAGGCAAGAAAATTGGAAGTTCAAGATTAGCCTTGGCTGGATGGAGATACAGTTCTTACTTAGTGAATGTGAGGTCCAGACCAATATAACCCCTCCACTCCCTCCACCCCCCAAAAAACTTGTAAGGGTAAATGGGTACCTTTAATTGGCTTTTACTTACGTAACTACACGCGGTATGGCTGGCAGCAGTACGCGCTCTCCAGCCTCTGTCTCTAGAGCTCCTAGCTGCTTGCTAGTCCCCAGCACGTCCCCCAGAGCATCTGTAGCCCTTCACACCAGCCTCAGAGACAGAAATGGTCCCTCCTCCTCCCTCAGTGAGCTTGTGGTCACTTTAAGTATAACCTGCAGCCTGTGCCAGGCCCACCATTAATCAGCCCTGAGTTCTATCTGGCAGCTCATTCTGCTGCCAGAACCTTCATTAGTTGCGGGAAGAGGCCAGGGAGGGAGGCCGGTCTTTACTTTGGCTGTGACTCACCCCTCTGGGAAGGGTTGAGGTATTTGTCCTTGTGTGTGTGTGTGTGTGTGTGTGTGTGTGTGTGTAAGAGGGAGTGTGCTGTGGCCTCTGTGGTTGGGAACACAGCCTGGCTTTGTTTACTGGTTTTGGCTTTCAAGGCTGGAGGTTGAAGATAAGGATCCACCCTCCTGATTTAAGTGAAGAAAGATGGGGAGTCCCCAGGTCCCTCCCTTCCTTGCCTCCCAAACAGAACCGTGCTCTCTATTCCCTGTGTGGGTAGGAGATGGCTGCCAGAATGGTCTAATCATAGTTTAGCAAGATGGCATAAGTGGCTTGTATGCAAATATCTGGGAAGCACAATCCCAGTATGTTCTTACTATCGAGTCTGAATGACTGACAATATGAGGTAAAGACACTGTGGCACTAGTTGAAGAATGTGGTCTGGAAGGAGACTCGGAAACAGGAGACCTGAGAATACTACAGCAGAGCTCTCTCGGTGATGCTTGGCTCTGGGTCTGGCCCTCCAGGTCGCTCATGATGTTACAAAGCCTTGTCCCTACTCCTGGAGGGCTGTGGCAGAACCAGGAAAGAGAAACAGTCCTGGGCTGCTGAGAGGAAGTAGAGGCAAACATGTTGGAAACAAGGCCGGGAAGGTAGCTTGGGTACCTAGCTGGCAACTCCCGCCTTCTTTCTCAGTGTTGGCCAGAGGCAGCTCGTGTGCCTGGCCCGAGCCCTGCTCCGCAAGAGCCGCGTCCTGGTTTTAGACGAGGCCACTGCTGCCATTGACCTGGAGACTGATGACCTCATCCAGGGCACCATCCGTACCCAGTTTGAAGACTGCACTGTATTGACCATTGCCCACCGGCTCAACACAATCATGGACTACAACAGGTGGGCCATGGAAAGCCGGGGGATGAGGGGATGGAAAGTCATGAAAAGCGAGGGGATTTGTGGCTATCACCTGAGAGACCGGAAGAGGCAAGGCCAATGAAAGGATCTGGGCATGAGACTCTTGGAATTGGCTATGCATGGGAGTACAGGACAGAGTTCCCAAGTTATGCTTAAGAGGCAGAACAGAGCAGGGTTAATTGTGTACAATGGTATCTGCAAAGGCACAGGGTCCTTGTGGAATTACCAACAAGTAGGGATGGTACACCAGGCTCCCTAGACCTTGGAAACAGCATGGACCACCTCTGTGTTCCTTATTGTGAATGGGAAAGGGGAGGGGAATGGCTCCTCATGTCCCATCCAAGCTTGCTGGTAGAGTGTTTACACGACTGTCACTTCATCCGAATCTCACCACCGCCTGTGGGGAAAGCACAACAGATCACAGGGAATGAGATAAAGCTGTTTGGGAGATACATGACAGCTTCCTGGGTTCCATCCTTGGTGACTAGATCCTAACAGTGCCCGGAAGAACGAATATTTGTGAGGAAGGCATGGTGTCTGAGCCAGAGCGCTGAGACCGATTGTTGTGGGACTATGGGACATTCACGAAGCTTCTCTGGGCTGTTTCATGTCTCTCGGAACTGCTGCTGTAAGGAGTCAGCGAAATTATGTTTAAACTGAAGGGAACACCGAGAAATGTCGGTTTCTCCCCAGTCCCCATAAAGCCCGTGTATTGTGGTTCTCTTAGCAATCATTCCTCCTGAATGAGAAAGACAAGCATGCCCTCGGAATCTCTTGGCTTCCTTGGGTAGGGGGATGAGTCAACCGAGGCTTTCTCTTGGAAGTGTCCCCATGTAGCCAGCAGGATCTTGGCGGGAGCAGTGAGATTGCCTGATGCTACCCCGTGTCTGTCCCACCCCTACCCCATTTCTAGCCCCCACTCCCATTCAGGACCCCACTGGGAAAAGAATGCAGGTGGGCTGCAAGAGCTGGGCTCTGCCTCTGGGGAGAGAGGCGGGGCTGAGAGGATCTTCCCAGATCCATGCCCCAGCAGCCCTAGGGTGGGAGGTTCAGGGCCACCATGGGGGGTGGGAGTTCACTCATTCTCAAAGGGCAGGCAGAAATTAATCAGAGAGTCAGGTTACAGAGCCTGTAATTAGAGCCCACGAGAAGTAAGCAGGCGTCCCTGCGTGCAAGCAGAGAAGTCAGTCTACACGGAGTGGCAGGGCCTGCTCTTCTAAGAAAGGGCAGTGCCAGGTGGACCCAAAGGATGAGGAGGAAAGGGTGAGAGAGGGGAAGAGAGGAAGGGAGGGGCTGAAGCCCTCAGAAATAGAGGCAGCACAGCCCCGAGGCAGGGAGTACTGAGGCTAGAGAGTAGAGCCGGAGAGAAGAACCAGCCCCCAAAGCTGTTCTTGAAGACCGTGCAGATTCAGTTGGTCTTCATGTTAAGGACCAGGAGACACCATTGGAGTCGGGGTTTGGATAACACAGCCTCCTGGCCCAGGTTTGGACAGTGGCCAGGTAGTAATGTGCACTCCTTCCCAGAACACAGATGTAGGAGCCCAGCAGGTGGAGATCAGAAAGCAACCTGCCCCTCTTACAAAGGAGTCTCTCTCCAGGCTTGGGGGCCCCTGACCCTCCCACCTTACCCTGGTGCAGCTGCCTATGGGTCTTTCGCCAGGTGCCTCCTGTGTGGCTGAAAGGAGAGGCTCTAACTCCAGGCTCGGGCTTGCCTGGGGTGGGGCAGTAGATCCATGCAGCAGCAACAACAGCAGCAGCAGCAGCAGCCCAAGTCCCAGATTGCAGCCTTGGCCTCACTGCAGCCTGGTTTCCTGCCGCGTGCCTTTGTGAGCTGGCATAAAACAGATGGATGTCCACCAGGCCTGGTGCAGGCCCGTGACTCCCCACACACAGCCATCTGAAGAAGCCCTGCGACCCCAGCAAGAGGAAGGGCTCATTAGGGAAGCCTTTCCAAGCCCAGACTAGCAGAGATGAATAGGACTGTGTTTGATCCCAGACACCGCGCCGTGCAGTAGGACAGCTAACAAAACAGCGAAAATAACCAGCCTTGCGAGTGTGCACATGTGGCCTATCAGTTGCGCTAAGTGGGCTGACTGAGTGGGTGGGCTGACATGTCACCGCGGAGCCTGAGCTGTGCCCAAAGGGCAGGGCTGGCCTCCAGGGCTGGGTCTACACTGTTGGAGACCTAACTACTTTTTCTTTTTTGGCTAGGGTCCTGGTCCTGGACAAAGGGGTAGTAGCTGAATTTGATTCTCCAACCAACCTCATCGCAGCGGGAGGCATCTTCTATGGGATGGCCAAAGATGCCGGACTCGCCTAGAGTACCTTCCAAGGGTTTCTTTCTTGTCTGAATTGACAAGTGTCTGCAGAATGGACTTGATGGCAATAAGTGGGGGCATTTGTGACATTTATTATTATTTTATTATTATTATTCTGCAAGTTGCCTCCCAGACTAGCCATACTTAGTACCGGAATGAGGAAGTGAGCGGGAGTCCAGTTCAAAGTCTGGTTGAGACCAGCGCCTGGGTTTCCTGGCCTAGTCCACCATTAGTCCCATACTGCAGTTCTGGGCTTTTTTTATTTTTCAAGACAGGGTTTCTCTTGTAGCTTTGGCACCTATCCTGGAACTAGCTCTTGTAGACCAGGCTGACTTTGAACTCACAGAGATCCGCCTGCCTCTGCCTCCCGAGTGCTGGGATTAAAGGCGTGCGCCACAACCGCCTGGCCCATACTGCAGTTTCGATTTGTTTTGTTTTGAGACCTTACTCCTGCCTCTACATTTTCATATTTTCCATTGTTTTTTAAACAACCCTTCCTCCTCCTGGGCCAGGGACTGCTAGGTCAGGCTGTCTGCCCCAGGAATGGAGTTCCCGTATTGGTGCTGTCTGAATCCACTTCAGATAGGACATGTGTGAAATAAAACTGTGGTCACCAGCAGATACAGCATGTGTTGCCTCCTTCTACCCATCTCCAAAGCCTGGGGGGCTAGAACCTTTGTGAAGAACCAGAAGGGGAGGGCCTCCTACACTTCTCTGTGGCTGAGTGATCTGAAACCTTCAGACCCGAAATTTTTGGCTGCAAATGCCATCTTCATAGCCAAAATTCACAGTGAAATTATAGTGCCTCCCACTCTGCTGGGCAGATGCTATGGAAGGTAAGAAATAAAGGCCCTGAAATCTGACCTGAGGCCTTAACTTCTCGGAAGAGCTGTTGAGAAACTTACTGGGGCCTTGTCATTGCTGTCTTCCAAGCCTGTTTTCCAGGGATTAAAGAGGCTCCTTTAGATGCCTGTTTACCAGGAAGACCACTGGTCATTCTGTCTCCACAGGTCAGCTGGGCGAACAGGAAGGTCAGAAGTGTCCCTGGTCCTTGCCTCCCCAGCTCCTTGGAGCCATTTTGCATGAGTCAACAAAGGTTTATTCTCTGCAGAGCTCACCTGGCACCAGGGCTCCATGTGAAATGGGTCTCTTCTGCCACCTCCTCAGCTTTCTCACCCTCATCTGTACCCTTACTCTTGGTAAAAAGTGTCTCGCTGCAGGTGGTGGCTGTTTTTCTTTCCCCACCCTAAGTGCTTGCCAGTCGCTGAGGAGACGGCTCCTTTGATCTGCTTTTTCTATATGCCCTGGGTTGGCCTATGCTGCAGGACCATTTGTTAAAGGTTAATCCCATTTTTTTTCTGGCAGGTTGTTTCCGAGTATATGGAAGGCGACGTCCATCCTTGCTCTATCGCAAGGATGAAAGCACAAATGCCCAAATTATTCTGCCTCTTCTCGGTGCTAAGAAAAGGTCTCTGCTATGCTCTCTGATTTATTAGGCCAATTTGGCATGGCGTCTGCTCTGTGAGGCACTAGCTGGCCTACACTGACAGGAGAGTCATTTGGCATGCCTCTCAGCTGAAGGTGTGAGGCTGTTTCCTCTCCTGCCTGGGGAGTTTGCTTCTGAACTCATGGAGGCCATGACGGGTGCTGACAGCCCAAAGGGGAGGCTCAGTTGTGTCAAGTAAATAGGATAATCAAAAACTGTGGTTAATAGGGGATGACCTCTATCTAACTGGCTCAGCGACTCCAGGGAAGCAGAGTGACTGCCGTGAACTGGGAGGGAAGATGCCACACAGAATCTGTCTCCAGATGCTACTGACAAGGCCTGAGCGCTGCTGGAATAGCAGCGGCACTGGGGTGGAGGCGGCTCAGCTGGGGAGCAGTCCTTCCCTTTTCCCTCCCAGTGCCAGCCCCATAGGACTTTACAGCAATCTGAACCCTCTGTGATTAGAATACAGGGCTGTTTACAAGGGCAAAATGAGAGAAAATGGACTTGGCCAGTTAACACTTAATTTTAATAATACCTGTTATGTCTGAACAGTCGACGACACACAAGGAAAAGTCTCCTGTGAATGTTTACACAGTGTGAACACATGCTTTCAGTATGCAGTAGAGGAGAAGTGCATTCAGTTAACAAAGCTTGAAAGAAAATCCCTTGTTATAAATTACACAAAGCATATAAAAATATTTCTCTGAATGCATAGATTAAGACTTCAAACTCATCTAAGAGCAACCATGCAGTTTCATCCCACTGCCAGAGGCAATGACCACAGAGGACTTCAGCAAAGGACAGGGCATTGGGCAGAGCCAAGTGGGACCTGTCCCCCATTTGGGACACCAAGACCCTTGGTCACTCTGCTTCTGTGCTCTGGGGCACTCTTCTGTAGCCCACCTCCCAGCCAGGTCTCTACTGCTTCCAAGAAGCTCTCATCAATTGGGGTGGCTGATGGAGTTTGAACCCCAGTAATTTAGACATGAATTAATACTGAATTTATTTCTTCCAAGATAGAACCACACTTAATTGTATCAGTAAACTAAGTTTTTCCAAAGCAAATTGAGGGGGAAAAAAAGGTTAGTACATCTAGATAAAGTAGATGGGCTGATGGGCTGAAACACAGGGGAGGTTTCCTCATTAAAGCACTTGGGAGAAGGGGGGGATTGAGCAACCGCCACTTGGCTATGCAAACACTCTACAAAAGGAAGTCACCAGCTGTACCAAGGGTGGGTATGATTAATCCACTACACAGGGTGACCCCACAAAGCTGGCCTTGAACACCTCAACTTCATTCCAGCGTTCAGGTGGCAGCGGGAGGCCATGTCCTCAGCACAACATCCTCTTCCACGGGCATCTGCATGTTCTCACTCAACTGCAGTGTTCTAATACAATTAAGTTAATAGTCAGGAAGTTAAGTTTCTTTGGAAACTATAGGCACTATGGGGAGAAAGCTTAAGACAGCAGGGATCCTCATCAACAGCTGCTCCAGCCCCTGCTCTCCTGTTTGTCTGCATGGGCCAGGTCCTATTTCTCAAGTTAAGCTGTCTCAGCAAAACGGAGGCTTTTCAACTTTAACGATGCCTAGGAGAAGGGGAAAACTCTCTAAATGAACTCTTGGGAAAGATCCTTACACCATGCTCCGGAGTCTGATTGGGTGCTCACAACTGACTGTCCAGTGGACTGAGGGTGGTGATAGGGGATTCCTAAGATCCAACAATTTGTTTACAAAAGCAACAGATTTCAGAGTTATGTAAAAATCCTAATAATTTCCAAAATAACCTTTATCTTTGATACAAAAATAAAGATGCTAACTCCTTTAGTTCAGTTTCCCACAATGACCGTTAAAACAGCAACAAATTCAGGCTCAAAAACTGCTTTTCATTTCTGGTGGGAAGTGAGAGTGGTGGGTGGGACCAGCAGTATTTGTGCTCTTCGTGGATGGTGCGATTCAACAGGGATGACAGGAACTGCCTCAGAGTAAAAATGTGGTGGTTCCTTTAGAAAGCATTAGAGAGCCCTCTAGTGACTGTGGACGGGAGGAGACGTAAAGATGACTGTCCTGAGAAGGTGGCAGTCATGAGTGGTCACAAAAGAAAAGAGGGGGAGGGGAAGCTCTTTTGGTTAACAGCCTATTTACAATTACGTAACTATATTTTTAAATACTTTAAACCTGAGTAACATTTATAAATACGCTATGTGAACCGTCACAGCCATGTGCTTTCTTTCCCCAGTCTTCCTCCCTAGTCGGTTCACAATTTCAGGAGCATCACGAGCATGCAACACCAAGAGAAGTGCTCCCGGCCCTTCAGGTGCATGGTCAACAGGAGTGGCTAGAAATAGGTCTGCTCTCAGGTTCCGCATCGACAACTCTAGACTCTGCACATAAAACATTGGCTATCGTACCTCCGGCTTCTGCCTCTCAAGACCACTTCTCAGCTGTTCAGAGATTCAGCAATAAGTTTATTGTGCACCAAGAGGCTTGGAAGAGTGGCACCGCTGCTGGGGGTCGGGGTTCCCTCCTGCTGAGGCTGATGTTAGTGTACACTACGCAGTGACACCAGGGGCCCTGGTGGGCATCCGAGGCTTTGGGATCAATGGCTTGTCCTTTGGCCCAGAGGTGACACATACTGTCACAATACTCAGTGATAAAGGCCCTGCTGTGTTAGTATGTCAGTTTTGAAGCTCTCCGGTTGTAACAAGGTCTCTCAGTCAGTGTGGACGCAGCATTTCTGAATAGAAAATTATTCTCACTTATCATCAGGACCAGCTCCAGCTCCTGGAAATCCTGGAGTCGGGCCACATCTTTGTCCTAAAATAAAATAGGGTGATGAGTTAAAATTTCCTTTTCATTTAGTTACTTTTTATTATGTTTATTTGCTTATTTATTTTGTATGCACACATGTTTGTGTCATGCATGATACACAAGTGGAGGTCAGAGGACAACCTGTGGGAATGAGTTTTCTCATTCCACAATGTGGGGCTCTGGAATGGAACGGAGGTCACTGGGCTTAGCAGCAAATGCCTTTAACCACTAAGCCACCTTGCCAGCCAAGGGCAACAGATTAACAGAAGCAGCTTGTGTCTATGTTTGGTGGGTTGTATTGTAGTATCTTGGTCCATCTTCAATTTAGAAGGAAAATCAAATCCCTGGGGCAGCTAAGCAATGACCAGTCCCCAGGTATAACCTGAACAAGATGGAGAAAGCCCGAACAGTCTCTGATGCAGGATGTGAATGTCCTGAAGGGACAGGCAAGTGGCTATCAGTTTTCCTCAGGAACCAAAGAAGCCAGCAGTTTGATGCTGAAGAACCCTAGCTGGCTAGAGGCTCACAGACGCCCAGGTGGGCCTCATCTCATCATACACAGAACATACCCTAATAGAGCACTAAGGCAAGCCCCACAGGTCACTATGGAAACATCTGAAACAGGCCCACATAACACTCTGCTTATCTTCCAATCTTCAAAAATGCCAGTGTAGCCGGTGGTGGCGCACACCTTTAATCCCAGCACTTGGGTGGCAGAGGCAGGCGGATCTTTGTGAGTTTATTCGAGGTCAGCTTGGTCTACAAGAGCTAGTTCCAGGATAGGCTCCAACGCTACAGGCCCTATCTCAAAAAACAAAACAAAACAAAACAAAACAAAGAAAAAGAAAGAAAGAAGAAAAAAGAAAAAAAGAAAAAAAAGCCAGTGTATTAGACAGTGTTTTAGAATGTAGTAGCTCACACCTTTATTCCCAGCACTCAAGAGGCTGAGACAGGAGGACTGCCATAAATCCACTGCTGGCCTAGGACAAACAATAAATACCAAAGCAGCTAGAGCTACACATCAAGACTGTCTCTAAAAAAATAAATCAATAAATAAATAAGCGAGCAAGTAAAGTCAAGGTCTCCGTGGACTCAGATGAACAGAAAGAAAGCTTATGGACTACATTTAGGTTGGAGCTTGAATTCAAGGCCTTGCACATAACAAGCATATGCTTGACCACTAGCTACAACCTTAGCTCCCCTTAGCCCTTTGCTACTTACTGGCTTTCCCTTCAGCTATGACTCAATAACCAAGGAAGAAGTTAGGCGTGCTCCAAATGCAGACAGCAGCCACTCAACTGCGGTAGGCAGACTTCTTACCTTTCTCAGCAGAGTATTGGGTAACTTCCTGATCTTTTCCACTTGGTCTGGATTAACACCCAGCTCACAGCAGCTCACTCTGAGCAGTTCTTGGTAGGTGAGCTCCTGTCGATCCAGTTCAATTTCAATGAAATCATTTTCCCGAAGAGATGGGTTCTGAATCCTCACCTTGAGTACCAGCTCTAGAGAAGAAAGAAGAAAGGTAATGCACAGGCTGTGTAGCTCAGTGTGTAGAACTAAAGGTCTGTGTCACCCACTAAGAAAACCTAGGCCAGTCAGGAAGGTTTATTCACACCCATTGCTGGCTCTGTTGGGGCAGTTTCCTACATTGTCTTCTCCACTGTGGTTCACCAAGCAAAAGGGGGCAGGAGTAGCAGCTACCCTAGCTCTATAAGGGTCACTAATCTCTGTCATCAGACATAAGGAAATAAAGACACCAGAAGGATTTGAGTATCAATTACACACATGTACGGAAAGGAGAAGAGGGTCAGAAAGATGGCAGGGCAAGATGTGGTCTCTGAGAGATCTTCTGACAGGATTCAACAATAATGGATCTAATGTTACTTAGGACACATAACACTCCTTGAAATAAAGACAGTAAAGGAGCCAGGCATGGATTCCATCACACACTTATAATCCCAGCAATATGAAACGGAACGAGAAGGACAGCCTGGACTACATAGAGAGAAACATTGCCTCATAACACCAAAACAATTCATTCTAGCAACTCAGGAAACAGAGACAAGCAGATCTCTCTGTGAGTTCAAGTCCAGCTTAAGCTACACACCAAACCTATTAACAAAAACAAACAAACAAACAAAAAAAAACAAAAAACAAAAAACCCTACCACCAAGTCAAAACAAAAACAGCAAAAGAACAACAACAACAAAAAGTTAAATCTAAGCAGTACTTGAAATACTACACCTTGATAAGAGAGAATCTTTGCTCGGGAGTAACATGACAGGCATGGGCCAGAGTTAGAAGCAATCTATCTGTCTTTACATTCCAGACCCGGCGTCAAAATGCCTGAAGCCAAGTATTCACATACATTTGTCAGTTCTGTCCTGCTCTTAAAGTACAGACATGGCACAGCATCATAGGTCCGATATTAGCAACTATGGTACCAGGTCTTCAAAACTAGAAAGTCAGGTGAAAAGAAAAGGTAAGTGTACATCAGACTATATGGATTTTACTGAAACTAGAACTGTCTGAATGAACTTGTGGCTTCTAATGTTCTTAAAACAGTCAGGCATGGTGGTATACTTCTTTAACCCTAGCATTTGGGAGGCACAGGCAGGTGGATCTCTATGAATTCAACATTAGCTTGTTCTACATAGTGCATTTTGGGCCTAGCAGGACTATATAGTGAGACTCTGCCAAAAAGAAACAGATAAAACTGAACAAATACATACACAGAAAGAGAAATATACCTGAGTATGCATATACATATGAATACATGTATACACATACAAACATATGTGTAAATGTTTATTCGCTTCCTTCTCTTCCCCCATTCCCTCTTTATATCACCCCTTCTTTTCCTTTCTCTCTAATTAAGCCCAGAACTGTCACATCTATAGCAAGAAGGACACTTAGTGTCCACATCCTGGCTTCTCCTACTCTCCACCCAAAGAACCAGAGTTCATAGGAGAAACGGTGGACTGCAGTGTTGGAGTGGGGGAAAATGACACTATAAACCAGGAACATCTTGTTACACTAGAAATAAGGATGTGTTTCAAGAATAATGGAGATGTGTCCATAGAACATTAAGAACTAGCTTGAAGGGGTTCCCACTGGCTAAATTAGGAATAATCTGAATATCAAAAGAATGACTGTATCAAATTATTACAACACACTAAATATAATATGAATTGAGTCCAGGCTGGAGAGATGGCTCAGCAGTTAAGAGCACTGGCTGCTCTTCCAGAGGACCCAGGTTCAATTCCCAGAATCCACAGAGTGGTTCACAACTGTCTGTAACTCATTCCAGGATATCCAATAACCTCTTCTAGATTCTGAGGACACCAGACACATACATGGTATACAAATATCCATGCAAGCAAAGCAGTAATGCCAAAAAAAAGTCAGTATGGCTATAACTGAGAAGGAAAAGTCCTTCTTTACTGAGATCTTTTTTAAAAATTTTATCTTATCCCCTGAACTGAAATTACATAAGGTTGTGAGTTGCCATATGGGTGCTGGGAATTGAACCCAGGTCCTCTGGAAGAGCAGTCAGTATTCTTAACCACTGAGCCATCTCTTCAGCCCTAACCCCCAAGTCCTTCATTATAGAAGAATAGCAAGTAATAAACAGAGAAGGAATGATAGAAAGCCTATTTCACCAAATAACTCTCTGAACCCTTCAAAATTATAGAGAATCATCAAGAATTATCAAGAATAATAGGAGAAAAGGGCTGGAGAAATGGGTGAGCTTTTAAGAACACTTGCTGTTCTTCCAGAGGACCAGAGTTTGGTTCCCAGTACCCATATGCCACATGGCTCACAGGGCCTGAAATTCTAATTCCAGGAGATCTGGCACCTCTTTGATCTCTGTGGGCACTGTCCCTACACGGCACACTTACATGAAGGCAAAACACTCACATTCATAAAAAAAATTTTGAGGGGGTCTTTTGAGACAGGGTTTCTTGTGTAGCCCTGGTTGCCCTGGAACTCACTCTGTAGACCAGGCTGGCCTCGAACTCACAAAGATCCGCCTGCATCTGCTTCCCGAGTGCTGGGATTAAAGGTGTGCACCACCATACCCAGCAAGAGAAAATTTTTGTTCCTAGGAATGATAGAAAAGGAACAACATTTCCATATTTTCAAGTAAAAAATTTACAGTTTATGAATCCTGAGAGAAGGGAGTTCCTTGGAAAAGGTCCTGGAACCTTTCCCTGATTCTGAGTACACCCCGATTAAACAGACTTCACTCCTGATGCAGAGGCTGTTTGCTGGTAAGGCATTACCTTGCATATTAAATGGAAACGCTCCAGTGAAGAAAAACGGCTGAAATGCTGGCGCTGGTCCTGCATATGTCCCATTTTGAGGCTCCAGAGACACGGGTGGCTTAGATGGGACAGAGGAGAACAGGGAGCGGTTCTGACTCACTGGTGGCTGACAGACAGGACCAGGTTTTGTGCTTTCTGGTGTTCTGAGTATGGCAGAGGGGGCAGAAATATCACCATTCTGAACCAGTGCTAAAGAGGTGTGGTCCCTGGGAAAGGCCCCTAGCAGAGGGGGTTCTGTGGGGGGCAGCAATGGCGGTGAGCCATCTGCAGGGGGTGATGCTGGAGGTGTGGAGGAGCCCCCATTCTGCAGCTGGGTGGAGTCTTCTGCTGCGGACGCGTAGATAAAAGGGAAGGCTGGGTTGGCCAGATAGTTGGGAACAAAGGGCAGATCTGACTCCTTCTTCAGCTGGGGGAGCTCGTCATCATCATCAGTTTCTTCCACTTAAAAACAGAAAGATACAGACCATAAAACTCACCAAGAAAGGAGCATGGTGGAAACTAGTGTCACTTGGGATGTGACAAATACTTTGGTAGGACTGACTGCCTCTTGAGGTCAGAAGAGAGAAGAACATTTCATTAGGTTTATGACCATTGTTACTGTCTTCACTTTTACAGATTAAAAAACCACAACTTATAATATTGGAATCCTACAAATAATGTGGAATCACAACTTTGGCATAGTAATTAACTTATAGAAATAGGACCAGTTATCTGATCAGCATCAATGTGGCCAATCATACCACATCTTAACGTATTTGTTTGACAAAATCAAATAATATTACCCCAAACAGACTTACCTCCCATAATCTTTCTGATTTCTCTCCTTGATGTTAACTGCACTGGCATTTCCCCTTTTGTTGTAAGAATGTCTCTGTCAGCCCCTGATTTTAGCAGGTAAGAGACCACCTGGCCATGGTTGCGCTTACATGCCCAGTGTAAACAGGTCCTGTCCCAAAGAAAGGAGAAAGAATGACTAAAGAAACAGAAAAGGTGATTCAAGATTTCAAATTACAAACATTAGTAAATAAATATACATAAGGTTGTTAGACTTCGGCTAGAACTCAGAAGTCAGACTAGCAATCTCAACTTTTCATTTCACAAAGCAGATGATCAAAATATTAATATAGTCAGGTATGGTGGCACATGCCTTTAATTCCAGCACTTGCGAAGCAGAGGCAATCAGATCTCCGTGAATTCAAGGCCAGTCTGCTCTACATAGTGAGTTCCAGGACAGACAAAGCTACATAGTGAGACCCACCCCCATCTTCAATAATAATAATATTTTAATATGCTTATATTTTATTTTTAAGTTTCATTCTTGGGGCTGGAGCTGTAACTCAATGGTGCTTGCCTAGAACACACAAGGCCTACCTGGGTTCAATCTTAGCACTGCAAAATAAATAGATAAAGTTCTAATTTCTAGACCTCAAGAAACATTAATCTATGCCAGGAGCTTCAATTTCCAAGGTTCCAGAGACTGCTGGCTGCTGACTGCAGTGACATTTCAGGATTAGTAAGATCCATTAGATCCTGGTCTCTTTGAAACAGATTTCTATGTTACCTCTTTATTTTAGAAACTAAGGAAACTTGATGTGCATCGAGGGCCAGCTAAAGAGTAACTACCGTCAGGCTATTAGCTATCTCCTACCCGCGGTTTCTCTGTCATGTCAGTCACCACCACAGCAGGGACTATCGCATCAGTCTTGGCTGCTTACTCCCCTTTCCTTGGTTTCTTTCCTACACACACCTACACACATACACAATTTCCAAATTTTCATTTTTCAAAATGCTGGGTTTTTGCAATCTCTTCAGCGGCTACCAACATATTCTCATCTGCTCAAATGAAACACTGCACACACACTTTTTTACTCTGGAGGCACTGAAAACAAAGGTATCAACAACCAAATTGGTTCAAGAATAGACCCTGCTAACATAACAGCCTCACCAAAGCAAAACTATTTACTATTGTATACATAGAGGTGCTGCACAGTCCACAGGACTATTTTAATACTGTAGAGAAATTTAGTTAGCATCCCTCAAATACGCCATCTTAACACAAGTTGCACCCTCAGGTGCTAAGCGGAGTGCATATTATGGAAGGAAAACACTTTTCCCCATTTCAAATGATCCCATTTATCAACTCTCTGATTTAACCTAGATAATCATCGTCAGAGTTTACAGCCAAACCCAGATAAGATAATGGACAGAGAAGAGGCTCAACAAAGAGGCCACTAACCTAAGAAGTACAACCATCATAGAGTTTATTTCATTTCAAGGAAAAGTTGATTTGCCTTGTGTATCTTTACAGTAATAACTTAGAGAACACTACCTGAATGACTGGGTGGAGTCACTCATTCACCATCCACCTGCCTTAAATGAACTCTTTAACAAAAGTGACTGCCCACGTGGGGGAAAACAGCGAAGAAGCTTTTAAAATTCTTTTGTCGTGCTGTAATCCAGGGCCTCACACATGCTAGGCCAGTGATTGATCACTGAGCTACACCCCCAGCAGAGGGTGACCAGAAGGCGGCATCTACCTGACAGAGGCAGATGTGTGTGCATGCATGTGTGTGTGCGCATGCATATGCATATGATATCAAACACTGAACCAACGTCTTCACATGTTAGGTTGATATGCTACCACTGAGCTACATCTCCAGTCCAAGTGCTTATTTCTTATCACTTATTACTGAACCTAGGATAATGAACATTGCTTAGCATAGGGGGGATCCAAAATTTCCTTGATTCTGAGCAAACCACAGCTCCAAGTGGGTTTGTGTGAAAATGTCTGTGGCATAGGCTTGAAAAATGAATAATTACAATACAGTGAGCACTCACAAATGAACGGATCAAGCTGAGAAAAAAAAACATGCTCCCTTTTGGAAAGAAGTACTTAGTCATGAGGAGAGTGAAAGAGTAAGACTGTGAGTGGGTCAGAGACATTACGGACAAACCACCAGCTAAGAGCACTGCCACGGAAATGGGGCTAAGTGGACACAGCAGGCCCCAGCCACCCTGGACCCCCAGTGACCACTGTTTCAGTCTAGAGCTGAGTGGCTATGGGCAGCTATAGCTCACAACCACTGCAGTCAGGCAGTATTTTCAACTTCTTCATAAACCATAATACTCATTTCTAAAGCCAAAGGGGACACATGACACTTGAATCACAATTGATGTGGAAACTCTATTTTTGAACTTCAACTCTTTAAACTTTATATTTGCAGTCCGAATATCCCATTAGGGCTGGAAAGTATTTTAGACCAGAGGCTTTGGGCATCATTCATCAACTGGGCATCATTCATCACTGCTGAAACTGTGGTTACTGAGCAACCAGGAATTGAAAGCAGTCACCAGTCTACTTTTCAATATTGAAAAGAGTTGGGTGTTTTTTTTTTTTTCAGGATGACTTTATGTCTCCCAACATGTTGCTTAATAACAAGAAAATAACAATAGCAAACACAAACTTAATACTTTACATGTTGGACATCGTTCTAAAGACTGCACTCATTTAATCTTCAAAACATCCCCTGAGGAGCTGGGTATAGTGGGATTTGCCTGTAGCCACAGCGACTCAGTAGACTAGGGTAGGAAGAAGGTAACTTTGAGGACAAGAGTGTTAAGGCCAGTTCAGGCAACACAGCAAGACCAAGTCAAGAAAGAAAGAGAAGGGTGGGGGTTGGAGAGATGGCTCAGCAGTTAAGAACACTGATGCGCTTATAGAGGTCTTGAGTTCAATTCTCAGCAAACCAAAAGGTGGCTCACAACCATCTAATATGGAATCTGATGTCCTCTTCTGTCATGCAGGCATACACGCAAGTAGAGCGCTCATATACATAAAGTGCATAAATTAATAAATCTTTAAAAAATTTTAAAAAAGAATAACCTAATATTGTGATCATTCTTCACTCATTTTATAGTCAACAAAGCTAGAACAATTTGCAAATAAATAAACAAACTATATAGCATGCTAGGTGGATGGATAGTAAGTGTTATGGGGCTATAAAAAAGAGTAAGAGATTAGGAAATGGCAGAGTTTGGGAGGGGAGTTGCATAATTTATTTATTCATTTATTGGTGCTCTGAGACAGGGTTTCTCTGTGTAGCCCTGGCCGTCCTGGAACTGTAAACCAGGCTGGCCTCAAATTCACAGAGATCTGCCTGCCTCTGCCTCCCAAGTGCTGGGATTAAAGGCGTGCACCACCACTGCCCAGCTAGAGTTGCACAATTTTAACTGATAGCCAAGGAAAAGCTTTACCATGAAGCTAACATTTAAGCTGAATGATAGAGAGCAAATCATGGGTATATGAAAGAAAAGCTTTCTAGGCAAAAAGGAAGGCAAAAGCAAAAGTCTAGACTTGGGGTGTATTATTCCGGGAAAAACAGGGAGGCCAAGGGAATGGAAAGGAGTGAACAAGGAAGCAAGTCTCAAGAGATGGGGCCAAAGGTCAGGTAAGGGAGTGGAAATTGATTTTCAGAGGAACATGGGATCCACTAGAGGACTTTGCACAAAGTGATCCAACTGTTCTAAGTCAGGGCTCCTCAGACCACGAGTTAAGGTCATAAAATAAGCAAGGACACCATGCAACTATCCAGCACGGTGAATGGTGGTGGCTTTGTATGACAATGTGGCAGTCAGATAGTGGTTTTGAGAGGTAGTCAGATCCTATATGAACATGGAGGCAGCAGAAATGGCTGACTGTATGTGGTATGTGAAGGAAGGACAGGGACCGAGGACAGTGCCTGCATTCTGGTCTGGTCATGTAAGAGGCTGAGACGAGATGGACTCAAAGCGGTAGGCCGAGAGCATAAGGCGGGATAAAGGGAATCTAGGACTTCACTCTTGGATTGAATTGATGGGAGTGGAGTGGAATTAAATCTACAGGAAGCCTCATCCCGGTACTTCAGTCTCACCTGACATTCACTGTCTGTGTAGCAAGGGCAGGCACTGTGCTGAGGGCGGCAGACGCTGGATTCACGTTCAGCTCTACCAGTTATTTAAAGGTGAACAGGAATGTAGACTAATTAAATCCAAGATTTAGTAATTTAGGGATATTTTGAAAATTGGATGGTTTACTTAATTTTCTTGGGGACTCGGTTTCTTCATCTTTAAGGTGGAGAAAATAACAATGATGTATGTCCCCAAATAGTCATAATGAGATGCCAAATGTTCAGAACCACATCTGTGCCACAGAGCACGTTCCAAACACAGCAGCTATTTATTATCCTTCATCTCAGTAAAGGCTAACAATCCTTCTGAAATTACTGGAAAATAAAGTGACTCAGCCAAGATCTCACAGCTAAGCAGGTATAGCCTGCAGCAAGGCCAGGCTCACTGTTCTGTAAAACACTGCCCCCCAGTGCCAAAACAGCAATTCACAGCTTTTGGACGTCATGGCAAGGCAAACACACAATTCCAAGTTTTTTTTGGTTGCAAACACTTGAAACAAGACAAGAAAAATGTTCACTGTCTCCTAGCTGTGGACAGCTATCTGGGATAGTTTCTTTAGGCAGGTAAATTTCTTAGGAAGGAAACCTCAATTCTGACTCTGATATCATATTAACGATTGTGCAACCAGGGCCAAAACATTCTCTGGAATTCAAATTATCTCCAGTGTACGGGTGTACGATTTCCAAAATGTACAACTCGATTTACAAAGCGGGGTGGGAGGGGGTAGTTTCAAACTTACTTTAACTTTGAACTAGCAAATAGGCTAGTTAAACACTGCCTGGACTAAGTAGAAGTGCAAAAAAAAAAAAAAAAAAAAAGGGCAGAATACCACAATTCAGTAACTTGAAACTAAAGGCTCGATCGCATCTTAAAATCAGACTCCTTATTTAGTTGGGAAGGGGGCAGGCAATCTGCACGCAGACATCTAAAGCCTTGGGTGAAATTCTCTGTTGGAAATTGTACTAGGAAAACAAAACACTACAGGGCAAACAAATGAGCCTCCTCCCAATAGCCAGCTGTAGGCAATAGCAAATCACTGCAGCATTGAAACAACAGAGGCAAATTATGATGCAAGTGGTGGGGTTTTTGTAATTGTTTCTTTTCTCCTGGGATTGACTAGAGAAATAGTGTTGGTTCTAAAACTGGCATTTGCTCGGTTGCTTATGCTTTCATCTCTGCCGAAGTGTTCTTCAGAAGCGCCCATGGCAAAATAATTCAAGCCTGATGAAATCCAGAGCAGAGTCGCTGAGAATCAAAGCCTCTAGTATCACTTTTCGGGTCAAGATAGCCAGGGGGCGCGGGGGATGATGGCGTGGGTTCTAGTGTCCTAGAGGGCGCTGGCCGCGGTGGACCACGGTAGGGTATGATTTAGGAAGGATGCGCTCGGGACTGCTCGAGGCAATGAGGCAGGGCTAGTCTCGAAAGAGCACAACCTCCGAGGCCTGAGGTACCAGCCTTCACCTTAGCCAGCGTGCTGGGTCAAGGCTGACTGCTCCACGCCCCGAGCTAGCAGCCCTGAACCCTCAGGCCTCCCCCGCTCGCCACTTACCAGCCGTTGACCTCATTTTGGGAGTTCACATCCACCCCGCTCTCCACCAGTTTCTGCACCTCCCGAATGTCCCCCAGGGCCGCTGCCTCCCGCAGCCTCTCCTGCTGCTCCTTCTGCTCTAGGAGGGCGTTCATCTTCCCCAGGGCCCCGGGCCCCCGGCCGCCCCGCCCCGAGCCCGTC